ACCTAAAAATTAAATATTTTCTGGAAATAATGAAAATTTGGGGAAAATAATGTGGATTTTGTGCTCTGAAAATGGGATTATTCCTTGATAATTGAGCCCAAAATTCCCCAAATCCTCAAAATTTGGGGAACCCAAACTTCCTCAGGAATAATCTAAAAATTAAATATTTTCTGGAAATAATGTGGATTTTGTGCTCTGTAAATGGGATTATTCCAGAGGAATTGAGCCCAAAATTTGGGGTTTGGAGAACCCAAACTTCCTCAGGAATAATCTAAAAATAAATTATTTTCTGGAAATAATGAAAATTTGGGGGAAATAATGTGGATTTTGTGCTCTGTAAATGGGATTATTCCTTGATAATTGAGCCCAAAGTCCTCAAAATTTGGGGATAACCTTCAGGAATAACCTAAAAATGAAATATTTTCTGGAAATAAAGTGGATTTGGTGCTGTGTAAATGGGATTTTTCCCGGATAATTTTCTTTTCCAGGCTTCCATCCTGTCCCTGGTGACCAAGATCAACAACGTCATCGATAATTTAATTGTGGCACCGGGAACGTTCGAGGTGGTGAGTGCAGAAATTGGGAAAAAATCCAGAGAGGGGAAAATGGGAAATTCTCATTGTCCTGGGTGGGGTTAGCTCAGTGCTGAGCCCCCAAATGTGGATTTTGGGCTGAATTTTGGGTTGAAGTTTTGGGATTTTTGGTTGAATTTTGGGTTGAATTTTTGAGGATTTTGGGTTGAAGTTTGGGGATTTTGGGTTGAATTTTCGGTTGAATTTTTGAGGATTTTGGGTTGAATTTTGGGTTGAATTTTTGAGGATTTTGGGTTGAATTTTCAGTTGAATTTCTGGGATTTTTCGTTGAATTTTGGCTTGAAGTTTTGGGATTTCGGGTTGAGTTTTGGGTTGAAGTTCTGGGATTTTGGGTTGAATTTCTGGGATTTTGGGTTGAAGTTTGGGTTGAATTTTTGGGATTCTGGGATGAAGTTTGGGGATTTTGGGTTGAATTTCTGGGATTTTTGGTTGAATTTTGGGTTGAAGTTTTGAGGATTTTGGGTTGAGGTTTTGGGATTTTGGGTTGAATTTAGGGTTGAATTTTTGAGGATTTTGGGTTGAATTTTTGAGGATTTTGGGTTGAAGTTTGGGTTGAAGTTTTGGGATTTTGGGTTGAGTTTTGGGTTGAATTTTGGGTTAAATTTTGGGTTGAATTTCTGGGATTTTGGGTTGAATTTTTGAGGATTTTGGGTTGAATTTTCGGTTGAATTTCTGGGATTTTGGGTTGAATTTTTGGGATTTTTGGTTGAATTTTTGAGGATTTTGGGTTGAAGTTTGGGTTGAATTTTGGGTTGAAGTTTTGGGATTTTGGATTGAGTTTTGGATTGAATTTTTGAGGATTTTGGGTTGAATTTTGGGTTGAATTTTTGGGATTTCGGGTTGAAGTTTGGGTTGAATTTTGGGTTGAAGTTCTGGGATTTTGGGTTGAATTTTGGGTGTAATTTCTGGGATTTTGGCTCCTTTCCCCCCAGCAAATCGAGGAGGTTCGCCAGGTGGGCTCCTACAAGAAGGGCACCATGACCACGGGGCACAACGTGGCCGACCTGGTGGTGATCCTGAAGATCCTGCCCACCCGTGAGTGTGGGCCCGGGGCAGCCTCGGTGCCAGGCCTTCCTCCAAACCCTCCTCATCCTCATCCTCATCCTCCTCATCCTCATCCTCATCCTCATCCTCCTCTCCTTTCCCAGTGGAAGCCGTGGCAGCCTTGGGGAACAAGGTGGTGGAGAGCCTGAGAGCGCAGGACCCCAGCGAAGGTGAGCCCTGGTTTTTAAAAATTTTTAAAAATTTTAAAATATTTTTTAATATTTTCTAAAGATTTTTTTAAATTTTTAAATATTTTTAAATATTTTCTTAAGATTTTTAAAGATTTTAAGTATATTTTTTAATATTTTTTTAAGATTTTTAAAAGACTTTTAAATATATTTTTTAAAGATTTTTTAAAGATTTTAAAATATATTTTTTAAGATTTTTTAAAGATTTTTAAAAGATTTTTAAATATATTTTTTAAGATTTTTTAAGATTTTTAAAAGATTTTTAAGTATATTTTTTAAAGATTTTTTTAAAGATTTTTAAATATATTTTTTAAGACTTTTTAAAGATTTTTAAAGATTTTAAATATATTTTTTTTAAGATTTTTTAAAGATTTTCAAATATATTTTTAAAGACTTTTTAAATATTTTTTAAGATTTTTAAAGATTTTTAAATATATTTCTTAAGATTTTTTTAAGATTTGTAAAAGATTTTAAAATATATTTTTTAAAGATTTTTTAAAGATTTTTAAATATATTTTTTAAGATTTTTTTAAGATTTGTAAAAGATTTTTAAATATATATTTTTTAAAGATTTTTAAAGATTTTTAAATATATTTTTTAAAGATTTTTTTAAGATTTTTAAATATATTTTTAAAGATTTTTTTAAGATTTTTTTAAGATTTGTGAAAGATTTTTAAATATATTTTTTAAAGATTTTTTAAAGATTTTAAAATATATTTTTTAAGATTTTTTTTAAGATTTTAAATATATTTTTTTAAAGATTTTTAAAAGATTTTTTAAGATTTTCCAAGCCTTCTCCAAACTTTCTCACATATTTTCTGTAAATAATCCCTCGTTTTGCTATTCCTTTATGGAGGAGGAGAAATTTGATGGGCTGTTGGTAAAGTAGAAATATTTTGGGATTATAACAGGTAAATTTTGGGATTTTAATGGGTAAATTTTGGGATTGTTTAGAGGTAAATGTTGGGATTATCACAGGTAAATTTTGGCATTGTGACAGGTAAAATTTGGGNTCCTCATCCTCCTCTCCTTTCCCAGTGGAAGCCGTGGCAGCCTTGGGGAACAAGGTGGTGGAGAGCCTGAGAGCGCAGGACCCCAGCGAAGGTGAGCCATGATTTTTTAAAAATTTTTAAAAATTTTAAAATATTTTTTAATATTTTTTAATATTTTTTAAAGATTTTTAAGTATATTTTTTAAAGATTTTTTTTAAGATTTTTAAATATATTTTTTAAGATTTTTTTAAGATTTGTAAAAGATTTTTAAATATATTTTTTAAGATTTTTAAATATATTTTTTAAAGATTTTTTAAAGATTTTTAAATATATTTTTTAAAGATTTTTTAAAGATTTTAAAATATATTTTTTAAAGATTTTTTTAAGATTTTTTAAAGATTTTTAAATATATTTTTTAAGATTTTTTAAAGATTTTTAAATATATTTTTAAGACTTTTTTAAGATTTGTAAAGATTTTAAATATATATTTTTTTAAGATTTTTTAAAGGATTTTTAAAGATTTTTAAATATATTTTTTTAAGATTTTTAAAAGATTTTTAAAGATTTTAAATATATTTTTTTTAAGATTTTTTAAAGATTTTTAAATATATATATTTTTAAGATTTTTTAAAGACTTTTAAAGATTTTTAAATATATATTTTTTAGGATTTTTTAAAGATTTTTAAAGAGGTAAATGTTGGGATTTTAACATGTAAAATTTAGGTTTTTAACAGGTAAATTTTGGGGTTGTCACAGGTAAAGTTTGGGGTTGTCACAGGTAAAGTTTGGGGATTGTAACACAAATTTGGGGATTGTGACAGGTAAAATTTGGGATTTTAACATGTAAAATTTAGGTTTTTAACAGGTAAATTTTGGGATCGTCAAAGATAAAGTTTGGGGTTGTAAGAGGCAAAATTTGGGATTGTAAGAGGTAAATGTTGGGATTGTAAGAGGTAAATTTTGGGATTCTGACAGATAAAATTTGGGATTTTAATGGGTAAATTTTGGGATTGTAAGAGGTAAATGTTGGGATTATCACAGGTAAATTTTGGGATTGTAACACATAAATTTGGGGATTGTGGCAGGTAAAATTTGGGATTTTAACAGGTAAAATTTGGGATTTTAACATGTAAAATTTGGGATTTTAACAGGTAAATGTTGGGATTTTCAAAGGTAAATTTTGGGCTTGTGACAGGTAAAGTTTGGGATTTTAACAGGTAAATGTTGACATTGTGACAGGTAAAATTTGGGATTGTGACAGATAAAATTTGGGTTTTTAACATGTAAAATTTGGGATTTTAACATGTAAAATTTAGGTTTTTAACAGGTAAATATTGGGATTGTCACAGGTAAAGTTTGGGGTTGTCACAGGTAAAGTTTGGGGTTGTAAGAGGCAAAATTTGGGATTGTAAGAGGTAAATGTTGGGATTGTAAGAGGTAAATTTTGGGATTCTGACAGATAAAGTTTGGGATTGTCAAAAGTAAATTTTGGGACTGTAAGAGGTAAATGTTGGGATTTTAACAGGTAAATGTTTGGATTGTAACAGGTAAAATTTGGGATTGTAAGAGGTAAAATTTGGGATTATAACAGGTAAATTTTGGGATTTTAATGGGTAAATTTTGGAATTGTAAGAGGTAAATGTTGGGATTATCACAGGTAAATTTTGGGATTGTAACACATAAATTTGGGGATTGTGACAGGTAAAATTTGGGATTTTAACATGTAAAATTTGGGTTTTTAACAGGTAAAACTGGGGATTGTAAGAGGTAAATTTTGGGATTTTAATGGGTAAATTTTGGGATTGTAAGAGGTAAATGTTGGGATTATCACAGGTAAAGTTTGGGGATTGTAACACAAGTTTGGGGATTGTGACAGGTAAAATTTGGGATTTTAACAGGTAAATTTTGGGTTTTTAACAGGTAAAGTTTGGGGTTGTCATAGGTAAAGTTTGGGGTTGTAAGAGGCAAAATTTGGGATTGTAAGAGGTAAATGTTGGGATTGTAAGAGGTAAAGTTTGGGATTCAGAGAGATAAATTTTGGGATTTTAATGGGTAAATTTTGGGATTGTAAGAGGTAAATTTTGGGATTGAACAGGTAAAATTTGGGATTGTAAGAGGTAAAATTTGGGATTATAACAGGTAAATTTTGGGATTTTAATGGGTAAATTTTGGGACTGTAAGAGGTAAATTTTGGGATTTTAACAGGTAAATGTTTGGATTGTAACAGGTAAATTTTGGGATTGTGACAGGTAAAATTGGGGATTGTTAAGAGGTAAATTTTGGGATTTTAATGGGTAAATTTTGGGATTGTAACACATAAATTTGGGGATTGTGACAGGTAAAATTTGGGATTTTAACCTGTAAAATTTGGGATTTTAACATGTAAAATTT